TAAAGAACAAGGTCGCTGGTGTCGACACCAGCCCACCGGTGGCCCAGAATAAACCAACACAGCCAGGCCAGTTGAGTGGCCATCACACTAGGCGGTATGTGGTAATGTACGCCTCCACGATCCTCTCACGAAGCCGCATAAAGATTTGGCGTGCCAGCCATTTCGCAAACAAGCCCGACACTGGGCCGCAGTGTAGCCGTTTCGGTCCTCCCAATGAGAGTCTGTGAGACACATTTCTCGGCTAGGATAGCTTGAAACGAGGTGGCATGTATTTTCCTGGTTTTGAGCTGGAATATCCTGTGTATGTACACTGTCCCGCCTGTTCTATTTGAAGGTGCTCATCCGAAAAGCCGAGGGATTGGTTACGCACTTGCTAACGTGTACAAGAAGATGTGGTCATTTACATAACCATCTTCGGCCGCCCATGCTGCTGTTAAACTCGAGTGAAGTGTATGAGGATGACTTTGTTCTATAGTATGACCTCATTCACGACCGACTGTCTGGCATCGACATCTTCCCAATGAGACTTCACTCAGATTACAACGAAGTCAGTGTACTTGGCGAATCCCCTCCAGCCATTGCGGAGCTCATAGCTCACACTAGCCCAGCTGCAACTTCGCCGTAGAGGGCCAATCAGCCCGTGCAGTTTAGTAAAAAAAAACCAATAATGCCCTGTTCTGTGCCTATGTTTAGGATAAGAGTTCTACCCGAAGTAAAACCTCAGAGAAGATCATGCATCGGCACTTTCCCCTAAGCGTATGTAATGGGGCCCACCCCATGGCACCTCGAGCATTTTTTTTTCAAACCATTGTTCTCCTCGCGTTTGAGTGTTCAGAGGGCAAACTTCATGAAGGCCCCAGGGAGCTTGTCCCAATGTCAACCTACAACGTCAGTGCTACATTTATATAATTTTTTATTGAGAGGTCGGGTACATAATGTTGCGATTTACGCATTTAGGCAGAATTATGCACCTATGATGGGTTAAGTTCTAGTTTGATATCATGACATCATGGAAGTCATTTATGTATTAACAACACCTGGGAATTATCAGTTGTCCTATGAGGAAGTTGTTATGGGATTTCCGTCGACGACACTGCGGTGTTGGATTTCATTGTGACACTGTAGGACACTGTCTTCATTCTTATATCTCTTTATTTGCTCCAACCAGGCTGATAGGATGTTGTTTTCCCCTCTCTTTCTCTCATCACAAGATTTCTGGTAGTTAGTTTCTCTTGGATTTATACTAGGGGCGGGTGGGCCACCTGAATACATACCCAGGCCATGGGTGGACAGAAGTAAAGAAGGTGGTCCAAAACAAGAGCATGATTGATCACTAAAACTTAGAAATGAAAGACAGCATCACACATGAAATAGACAAGAAAGCAAAATGTGATCAGGGGAATGTGATAGCAAATTTCCTGAAAATCACTGTGCTTCACATGTGGCTTGGATTTCAGTTAAAATCTGCTTGCAATTTGGGAATAATGAATTTGCCAATAATCAATTGGATACAGGTGTAGTGAAGCAAGGTGAATTTGCAACTGCCATTAATGTGAAGATCCAAAAAAGTTGAACATACATATTGTTTATCTAATTTGGATTAGCTGTGGTTGGTTACCGTAATACCTACATCAACTGATCTGAAAGTTTTTCTGGTCATGTCAGGTTTGATGAAATTTGAACTAGCTTTGATTTCTTCAAATCCAAAGGTGTCCAATGCTTGTAACCAACAGTAGGCCAGTTACACTAACAATCTTGTGCACTACAACTTACAAGAGTAATTATGTTATCTGAATTTCTTTTTGTAAGAGCAACCACATCATTTAGACTTAGTGGTTTAAGGTTGATTATTGTAACTACTCTAAGCTGGTCCAGTTGTCAGCCTCTATGCTATTAACCTGAAGGGTTCTGCCATGAGTGTTGATAAAAAAGGAAAAAATCTGGGGATTTCATGTGGAGAAATACCCTCAACCTGTGAAAAAAACAGGGAGGAGTCAGTGAGGCATGTTCTTCTTTGGCTAACTCTTCCAAATTTAATTGAGCATTCAACATCAATCCTATAGTGGAGGATTTATAGACAACCAAGGTGAGGAAATGTTCAACTCACTTGGGTTTGTGGCTTTCTCAGTAACTGAGAAGAGTTAACAACAGGTCTGGGAAAAAGTGTAGTACACTTAAGAGCCAGAATTATTTGAGGGGGGGGGGGAAATCATTTTGGCAATAAAACTAAGTAGAAAGACTTTAAATTTGTAGGGTAAATCTATTTAGACTTAGGGTAGCTGCAATGTGAGGTTATTCTTTCCCAAAAAGGTGGGGTGGCACATACCTCTAACCCTAAATTTTGCAGGGAGGGCATGGAGAGTCCGGTGGATCTCCCTGAACAATGATGGGCCCTGAGAGAGCCGGGCATTAGACTGGAGGACTGACAGGCTGTTAGATACATCATCTCCAATTTTGGAATATGTATGTAGCATCCAGATTCCAGATTCTGGATGGCCAAGTGGTAGGGGGGTCGGTGAATGTAAAGTTTCAAGTGAGATTCAGTAAATAATTGGCCAGTACAATCTCTGCACAAGTTTCTACCAGCCACCATGCCAGAATGGTCTTACCCAGCCAAATCAATCTGATAACAATGTGATCAAAATTGAAGACACCCAAAACAAACTGGTTGCCTGTACTAACTGGGGCCCCACTGAACTTTGGTTTTCTTAATAACTCTTGTGATATTTCCTTTTTTTAGCTTGCAAAAATGAATCAATTTTTTTTGTCTTGTTTTCTTACTATTTTGAGTTATAATGTTATCAATTTTAAAAAATGGCACCTTGGTGCACCCCTTTAGGCTTTAGAAGGCAGCAGGCACACCAACAACCCTGCCCTCACAGCACTAGCGAGCTTCAGAACAGCTCTCTTTCTTTGCATAAACATGGGAACAGTAAATGTACATTGATGGAATGTCATATGACATGATACCATACATGCATAGTTGATTTTCTGGTCCATTTCACATGTAATTGAGTGAGCTGCAGTGACTGTGCAGTGGCTATGTAATTGAAGGGGGCTTCTGACATGTGCATTCTGGTTATGCAAGCCCAATGTCAAGAGAATTGCATGTGCTGCATGCATCATTCAATCTTGCATGTAGAATTGTAGCTCATTTCCGCTGTAGGCCAGTTTGAAGTATGCAAGGTTTGAATTAGAGCACAAAAAGGTTATGATGGTGCCATAATTGAGGGGTGGTGTGGTTCAATCTGAGACCTGGATGATGTAATCAGGGTTGGTGAAGCTTCAGGTAAGTTTAAATAGCTTATTCCTCAATCCTTACACACATCTATTAGCTCGTCCTTGTTCATATGCTAATAATGGATGAATTATGAATTATGTACATATTTTACAAGCATAGATATCAGGTTTTTAGTTAAATTACTCCCAGAAAGAGAGGAATCCCTCTTGGCCAGCAAGAGTTGTACACTCTCAAGGGCCGAGTCTACAGCTCTCAGAAGGCAAGAGCAACGGTGGGCCAGTTACACTAACCGTAGTGTTAGTGTAGCGTAGTGTTAGCTTTTTAAGCTACGCTACACAAAAGTTACTGTTAGCGGGAATTTTTGGCCCACTAACACTACAGGATTTTTGAAAAACAAAAAAACAACTTTAGCGTAGTGTTAGCTACCTTCAAAAAGGCACAACTAACACTAACCAAAATCCTGTTAGTGAAATTTTAGTGGTGTTAGTGGGTGAACCCACTACACTACATGTTAGTGTAACTTTTTGAAAAGTTACACTAACAGTTAGTGTAGTGGTACCCTCAGTTACACTAACTGTTAGCGTAACTGGTGAAAAAGTTACACTAACTGTTAGTGTAACTGATTAAAAGTTACACTAACTGTTAGTGTAACTGACTATGTAGTTACATGACCACATGACTAGCGCTAGTCTACCCTGAAGGTAGTGCCTGATTGTGGGGCCTACATCCAGATCCCCTCAATTGATCATCATTTTTTTTCAGTTGGTACTGGGGGCCACTCAATTTTAGCCCCCTGCCATTTTCTTAATTTACTGGGTTCCATTCCCACACTTACTTGTGTTCAATTTCCACTTTGACATCATGCAGCAAGGGGTGTGTGTGTGTGTTGAGGTGTATGATAGTCTGCTACCATTATGTATCACCAGAGTGTGGTGGAGCTGTGGGCATGGGCCATGACAACTACCACCCAACTGACCTGGCAAACACAAGCATCTGTAGCCTAGTTGGTAAAGGAAGCACTCTTGTATGTGACTCAGCATTGCTGAGGTTGTGAGTTCAAATCTCACCAGGCACATCCTCAGTTTGTTTTTCTCCACATCTTGTGCTGTTCATATTCTGCGGGATTGTGTGCGATCACGGGACATTGAAAATCGTCACCGTGGACCTCGGCCGTATCAGTCATATGAACATTTTACATAAGTTGTGCAAAAATCCAGCTTGACACATCAATTTCTTTAATTGATGAGTTACAATGTAGTGTAGCTTAATTTGGTATAAGTTACGCTAAATGTTAGCGTCAACTCAGTTACGCTGCTGGTTAGTGGAAGTTTTGTTAGCTTGGAAAAAGTTACGCTACTTGTTAGTTTAGTGGCAATTATTTCAAGCTAACACTAAAAAAAATTTGCGGGAAAAATTTTACGCTACGCTGGCAGTTAGCTCAGCGGTGTGTAGCGTGAACTAACACTACAGGATTTCCAGCAAAAAAAAAAGCAACTACGCTAACATGTAGTGGCCAAATAGCGTAGTGTAGCGTAGCGGCCCACCGTTGGCAAGAGGAATCCCTCTTGGCCGCTGAGAGTGTATAGCTCTCTGCAACCAAGAGAGATTCTTCTTGGTCACAGCTTGCCAGCCAAGATGAATCCCTCTCTTGGGCGTTGATAAATACACTCCCTCCCCCTCCGCGCCCGCCCACGCCCCCGCCCCTCGGAAGTCTGTTTTCCCAAGGAAACTGGCTTCCGAGGGGCGGGCAGAAGAACCCGCCCCTCCTGGAGGGGCGGGTGGCATAGCACGCCCCTCACAGACGGGCGGGAGGGAGATTATCTTGATGGATTATAAAAAAAGCAAATCCCGCATTGTTGATAAAAAGGAGCATATTGTTGCGTATTTTTCTGGACTGTTATTCAAACATCATGCATATGTGAAGTGGATAAGGCGACGGTATGTCCCAGTATCGTCACTTGATGCCCTCCCATAAGGCTTCACCTCCATCCACGGGACTTCGGACCAGCTTCCCTCATCTCCATCCCTGCCATCTCCCTGTAAATATCATACAATGTACGCAAAGTGGCTCCGAGACCTGAAGTAATTAAAAAGAAATGAGACAAGCAACAATGGAGTGAGTAGAATGGACTCTTGTACGCGGAGGAAATTGATGGAGGGGGGGAAGGATAAATGACGGACCATGGAACCAGGAAAATCGGGCCTCTGAGCCGGACAAGCGGTCGGACATGTTATTGAAAAAGCCCTTCAATGATCTATAGCCTTCTGAAAACGTATCCCAATAGATGACGTCGAAGTTAGCCTGAATTTTGCTTTCCTGAACGTCGACGAGGAAGTCTTGCCAGCGGCCGGGATAGATATGGACACCGGGTTTGTTGGGCCAACCTCGTTCGGTGATGAACTGCAAGACATCAGGATGGGGTTCGATGATCACATGTCGAGCGGGGTGATACTGCTGGAAGAAGCTGCCGATGATGCCGAGGCCAAAGCCGACGTTGAGGATGCTGAGTTCGGATGTCTTGTTGTTCTGGCCCACTATGAAGGGCTCGCACTCGCAGAGCCGCTTGGCCGTCTGGCCCATGATCTCCTTCTCCCAGCCTTGCATCACCCCATTCCCTTCCAAATCAATGAATAGTCGTTGCCCGCTTGCGCTTGTCTTTAACATCAGCTTCAAGTCATTGGCGCGCTGACGTAAGCAAAACAGTCTAGAGTGTTTTGCTTACAACATCAGCCTGCCATGACCTCTCGGGTGGTTGGTGTTCAAACCCACCCGCCCCTCCAGGAGGGGCGGGTTCTTCTGCCCGCCCCTTGGAAGGCGGGTTCTTCTGCCCGCCCCTTGGAAGGCGGGCTCTTCTGCCCGCCCCTTGGAAGGCGGGCTCTTCTGCCCGCCCCTCGGAAGCCTGTTTCCTTGGGAAAACAGACTTCTGAGGGGCGGGGGCGTGGGCGGGCGGGGAGGGGGAGGGAGTGTATTTATCAACACCCCCCTCTCTTCTGTTTAGAGCATACACTCTCAGCAACTGAGAGGGATTCCTCTTGGCTGGAAAGAGTTTTTTTTCATTTTTTTTGTTATTTGTTTTTTTTATTAAGAGAACAACTTCCAAGCCTTTTAAAGTTTTTGGAGGTCCGACTCCCAATTTCAGGGTTTGAATTCCTGAGGACCATCCAACTTCCCAGAAATTTGGGGTTCAGAACTCCAGGTTATGGGAGTTGTTTAATCAATACCCTAAATATTATTTTAACTATTTATACTAATGATCTTTCGGTGACTATTGAGACTTTATGGTCAAGGTTTCAAGAGGGATTTCAAAGTTAGAATTGAAACATTCTGGTTCTTCATCTGACCCCTTTTGGGGCCTATTGACGCAGAATCTTATTTTTGAAAAAGTAACTGATTTCAAATGGTGGATTCCTTATATTTTACATCACCTATTGAGTTCAAAGGTTCCCTAATCCTCTCCATCCACTTTTCTTCTGAAATTATTTCCAAATTGATTCATCATCGTTGAAATCAAAGCCCACTGATAGAGAGGGTTTTTTATCAGAAGTTTTGGACAACAAAATAAATTGTTGGACCAGCTCAAAAGGGCAAAAAATGGGGGTGAGAACTGATGGTTTCTGGATTACTGATACTAGGCAAGTTAGAGATTTCGCTTTCATACACGGGTACCTGTAGCGGGTGCGGGTACCTGCCTCAAAAATCCAATATCTTGGACACCCACACCTGCACCCGCACCCACCAGGGCAGGTACCCGGGTACCTGGGCCAGGTACAGTGGGTAGACAGTGAAAGGTGGCTGCTTATATTGGATTCCAGAGCTCCCAAACACAGACTTGAAGTTATGAGACTTGTTAAGGTGGTGCAGAATAGGTCCCAGAAAATGAATATGAAAAAATCAAAACAAAAAGTAAAGTTTCAAAATTTGTGAAAAATCAAAAATAAAACTGATTTTTTTTCAAAAGCTTTGATATTCATTTTGGGGGAGTGGGTCACTGGGATTTCTGAGAGAAAGAAAGAGTGGAACATGAAAATAATGATTATAAATGAAAAAATTGCAACCAAAAAAGGTTTAGCCAGGTTGGTTGTCCATATTGGAGCCAAAACAGTAAATTCTAGTGCTTTACTGCAATGTGGGCTGGTGAATGCCCCACTCAACAGCTGCTTGAAGCCATCTGGAAACCAATCACAGTTCATTAAAGGCATGAAAATGGCAAATGAAAAGTCAAAAGTTTCCCTTCACTGTGGACTGCTCAAGGTCCAACTGGAGCAGGCCTACCTGCCACCAGAAGCCCAACCCATGTGCTTTCGGCTACATGTGTGGGGATGGTTTGATCTTGAGGGCTTGTTCAACTTTGACCTCAGGCTATTTAAGTTCTACCAATCGTGCCACCAAAGGGTCTTTTTCCCATCAGCACCGTACATGGTTGTACATTGGTATACTGTTCAAAGCCCTGTGTGGCCCCTTTCCTGTTGCTTCATAGCCATGCCAACATTAACCACCCACACCTCATTCAAGGGATTGATCAAAACAGGTGACCCTCGTCACGTCCTTACATCTCAACTGAAACCAACTCCACTGGGCTGAACTTTGTTCCTCACAGCGATTCCTGTCTCTAGCGCCTGGCCAGTCAGGCATTGACAACAACAATTAACTCCTTCCGCCGCTTCACCTGGACCAAAGCCCGGCTCAATAGCTTGGCTTGTGTTGTCCACAACGGTCATGGTTTCCTTTCCCATGGTTGGACCCACAGGGTCTCCCCAATAGTCATCCCTGGAGAATGACCCACCTCCCCAAGGCGCACACTACCAGCAGCCTGCCCTCGATCCATACCGGCCAAATCCAACCACTCCCGACTCCCCACCACATCCCACCACCCATTAAAAAGTGCACCCCCATCAGTCATCCCGAATCCATCTATCCCCACCACCCCCCCACCCCTTATCCCCAGCCAGTTCCCCATCCCACCCGACATACCACCCTTCCCCACAGCCCCCATTCCCAACCATAACGCTAACTTACCCGCCACAACCCCTCCCCCCAATACCACCAACCCCAACCCCCACGCTAACCACCATGAGCGCCCTCCGTGCACCGAACCACCCCTCCATACTCACTGGTATTTTTGAGCCTATTGCTGATGTGAGTTTGAGAGTGTGGACCTGTTGACCATATTGCTGACATCTTTGTCAGTCTATACCCGAGGCCCAACATGGCAATCAATATGGAGTCCTTACCACACCTAGCTTCTTTCAATGCGCTGGCTACATGGAAGAGGAAGCAACCGACTTTGAGGTAAATTTGATCACAAACACCGCATTGAGTAACGTCCTGGAGGCTGGAGCATTATACATGATTAGTGGTAGGCTCATAGTGCTCAATGATGGATCAACACCCACCCTCACCTATAATCACGACACCATTGTCCCGATCCCGCGCCACGGTACAGCTGTTCCAGAAACAACTAACAAGACTTCCGCAGTCGGACTTGGCCATGTGGTGGAAAGAGCAGAAGTTATGCCAGGCAACAGCGAGAATAGCCCTCGCCTGGAAGTGATAGTAGCACATAACGACTGGGATGCTATTGTAAGTTAAACCAGTACACTCGACTAGATAATTACTGACTTCAATCTTAGGCCAGGACTCACCGGCGATTCCTTGTCAAATACATAATCCCCGGCTCGAAGAACTTCATCAAGACTCACACGTTGTATCAAGTCGGCCGAGAGGTTCAACTCCTCAGCTATCTGGTTGATTTCGAGCTAGAACGCAACATGGCTGTATTTGGAGTGAGTCTCAGTAATGATTGATATCTACTCAAACTAACCCACGTTTCAGGTCCATTCTGTCAGCTTGACCTCAGGACACCAAATAGGCCGCTCATCAGGGGTTGCGTCGTCCTCAGGTAACAGGACCTCTCGAAATGGCCGCAAGTTGTAAGTTGGCATCATCATATAGCGATAGATGCATGCTGACATTCACCCAGTGTGAAGTTCGGATCACAACCCTCCCAATCTGCAGGTGAACAACCTCATGACAACCCCGACGAAGGGGGACCCTCGGTACCATCAAGTTCTGACAGAAACAAAGGCAAAGGCAAAGCATTAGCTGACGTTGACGGTGAAGCAAACACCTCTGAAGAAGAAACAACCATCGAGGCTCAGTCATCCCCCCAAGTTGCGCCTCACACTAGCACCCAAAGAGGCCGCCCCCGCATGAATATTCTCAAGGATGCTGCCAAACGGATGAAAAGAGCCTAGAGCACCTTGTATGAACTGATTGGAGTCTTCTGCATCCTATCCGTTGCTCTCTTGGCCTCATGTATTTCCATTCGCTCACTCCAAAATGTGTATTACGCTGGCAAAGCTGGACCTAGATGTTTAAACCAAATGTGGATTAGGAATTATGCCTGTATTAGATGTCAATTGTGTCCCAAGATGTTGACCTTTATACCATCCAAGTTCGAATTGGACATGTTGTCAACAACCCATATATTTGTTAGATTGAAGTGGAACAATGAACTGACGTGGCGATTTGAGAGATCAGACCGTCGCCCAAATAAGCTCCGTTCTCAGGTCCAAGACTTCCAGGACACAATAATTTCCTCACTTGATTCCTTGTTTTCTTTTTCCTGACAAAATCCAGTTGATGCCTCCCCGAGAAAGTGGATATTACACAGATCAATAAGAGCGAAAATGTTTAAAAAAGGGTATTGAAAAACTGGATGATCTGTGTCTACCCGTCGGTTGCGTTGAAGTCACCCTCATCCATGTCGCTGTTGTTCTTATCATCATAGTGAGTACGATCAGTTTGCGGAAGAAAACAGACCGTGATGCAAGAAGAGGTACTCACTGTGGTTCCTTGTGTTCCTTGTGTTCACCATATTGAATGGCATGACCGATGTTGCTTAGAATGGACCGATACTCTCGTCATTAATAATCTCTAATGGTAAAAAAGAGACCATGTTGAAAGCTTGTAATTGAGAAAAACCTCCAGACCAATGTCAGCTGCCGTGAGGAGCCGCAAATGGATAGACTGATATACCAGATGACTGATAGCTTGGTTGAGACTATGAAACTTTGGATGGGTCTTTTCGTTTACTTCACCCAACAAGAGATCACGATTAGAGATTAAATAACGCTCGAGTTCATTTGAGCGGATTTGGGTGATTGTGCTTGCAGCCGTCCTTCCATTTTTAAAGAGGTCCATCTTCGACAGTACGTGGAATCTCCAGGTTGATCATCGCCGACGTTACTGATAGAAGTCCAGAGAAAAACTTGGGTCGGTCTGCTATAAAATTTGATTTGAGGAGATAGGTCTTTTTCACAGTTATATCGGCTTGTGAGCTTCCTGTAGAGCTCAATTAATAGGTTTAAGGATTAATGACTGACTGCACACAGTCGGAAATCGAACTCCATGGTCAAAATTTGGACGATCTTGTGCATTACGTTGAAGTGTGTATAGAGCTCTATTTGACCCGGACAATCGATAATCAAGAAGTCGTCCTCACATGATTTAGGTTTTTTTTCTAGCCAGTCCAAATTTTTAAGCAAGTATCTAAATCCAAGAAGAAAGTCGACGTTAACTTGTTCCTTATTTTCAGACCGATCAAGGGTTTGACTCAACTCAAAACAATAAGCGGCCTCCGTCGGGTCCTAAAAGGGCTTACGACTACGTTAGAGACCAGGAAGCTGTGACTGAGACCCCAGGGGAAGTGACGATGTTTCTGAAAAGGCAGGCAAAAGCACAAGAGATGAGATCGGAGAATCGAAGAAGAAGAAGAATCAGTAAGAGATGAACGCGTAAGAAGCAAAGCTGATCTTCCCATTGAGTACCGATCCGTAAAGCGTCCTCATAGAAGATCACCACGATCAAGAATCTGCCGAGGCCGGGGAGATAAGGCTTAATAGGATGCGAGTAGATTTTGATGAAGTCTTCGATCGAGGCAGACCAGAGCTGAATCTTAGCCAGAAACTCTGAGAGAGGGATTGACTTGAAGCGACGTCGGGTCAGTGGAACATCGATTTAGCCGTAGCCCCCAAAAAAATGTTGCCTAACCCCCCGCTTCGTGGAAGGCCTGTTGCACGACCGACTCCATCCATTCCCGCACAAAAACCTGATTCCAACACTACATAGCCACCGAATAGCGACGACCTCAGTTTCTCTCTTCGGATCGATCGTCAGGCGAACTGCTGATTGAACTCCCAACCAGGGTATCGACCACTCTGTAGCTATTCGCTAGCCGTACGCCTCGATCTCGACGGGTAAAAGTTTCTGCTCGTGCGTTACTTCACGGCTGCACGCTGCCCTGATCTCAAAGTTATCCAGCTATTGATTAACGACTACTTCAACACCTCTTGTCAAACCAATCGTCAGCCAACGTTGTGATTGATACCACAACCGGGTGCCGACCACTCTGGCTTATCTGCTAACCGTACGCTCGATCTCGACGGCTCACCAGTCAGTCAAGGCGTTTTTCCCAAAGTCAGCTCTCATTAGGTTCGACCAGAATGTTCAACTTGTCAAAATCCAATTGGTAGCAACGTCTACAAAGTTAAAACTGACAATTTGCATATTATTCTTAGACTACGCTTCCGATAAGACCGATCCGATTCGCCTTTGTTTTTAACCTCCCTTCAGCAAGATCAACTGTCAAAGAGTCGTGATCGTGCGCTCGGTGTTGGCTAAGCTTTGGATCGACCTGTAACTCCCACTATGTGAGTCATCATATCGACTGATAGACGCACAATAACTAAACCGTATGCTTTGTGGACCTAACAGTTCCGATTCGATCGTCCAATCCGACTGTGCAAACCGCTACAGCAACGTTGCTCAGCCGACTAAACTATCAATCCCTCAAACTGAGTGCGCTCATTCTCGACTGGCCAAGTCCTACGTCACACGCTGCTTAGCCAAGACTTGCGGCCGAGTTAATCTCATAGCCTCAGATCGGGTAAGTTGATTTGGATAAGCGGATCTTCTCATGACTCATGCGAAACAATGCTTACCTCCAGATTGATTCTTTCCAAAAGCTTACTACTTGGTGTTCTTATCTAGCAAGGACATTCTCCTGTCTTCACCATTCAGCTTGTGGGGCCGCGAGTAATACTGTGAGTCAAGCGATCGACCCCACCCAACTCAACTAATCACAAGATTTCAGCCAAGATCACTCTTCCTTCAAGTTCCACTACCATTACCGCTACATTACAGACCAGCTAAAAAATGCTTTGCCTTTGTGTTTCTCCAGTCGTTTTCGGTTCATTGGCACCAATTTGATTATCAGTGTCTGTGTGATAAGTCTGATTGTGATTCCGATCTGTTTTAGAACTTGGTTGGGACACATGATAATGGAAGCACAGAGACCCAAAATCAGGAACATCTTGAAATCAAATGCACGGCGGCAACGACGAGCGGCAGACAGGCAATCCGAAGTCGCCTTAGAGATTGATGCCTCATCATACGTGGGTGAACGCGTGATATGGTCCCGACGGCGTTTCAAAAAGTGTCACTTGTATCCGGCCATCCGAGATGAAAGGAAGCGAACACCCCGTCATCCGACCGTACACGAGGTTGAATACGCCCAGAAAAAGGCGGCTGGATTCCGCAAGTTCACTCACGGCAAGGTTATCATCCGAGATACCACACACGGTGGTGAAGTGATTGCTGTTATTGAATTTCTTCCATTGGACAAACTGTCATCTCAGCAAATGGATGAAATCAATTTTGTCACAACTTACCTCCACCAGATGAAACAATTCGTCTATCCAGTCGGCCCATTGCGTACCTGGGGAGGCCGAATGTGGGGAGTTGGTTGGCGAAAATCCATGTTGTCTGTCGAACTTTTTGGGCAGTATGTAAAGTCCGCAGCAATCAAACGGGCACCAAAGAAGTACTCCGAACTGGTTTCACGATCGAGGAAAGTTGCGAATATCCTGGGCCAGATGTTTAAGGATCTTGGAGGTCTGGCATTTGATTCGAACCATCAGATGATGCAGCAAAACGGCATTCCTTCATTCGGTCAACCGCTACAACCTTACGATTGCGCACCTCATATCACATTCACTTCACATGGGTTCTTCAACGCCCCCCATGTTGATAGTGGTGACGCCTCTCAATGGGCATTTGCACTCTTTGTTCCGACTCATGTTGTGGACGGGACATTGGCCAGTGTTAATGATGGATACAACGTGACTGGAGGAAGATTTGTTTTCCCGGACCATGACTGTTGTATCGATTTCGACCAAGTAAGTGTTGTGAAGCTCATTTGGGCAGCGAACAAGGTCAAGCATTGTACATTACCTCCAACCGAGTCACCGAAGTTCACCAGGATGGCACTATCAATGCAAATACCAACGAAGTCATCGAGTACTTGCAGTGCAATCAGGTCAGGTCTCATATACCTCAGGGATTCCTACAGGAACAAGAAGAACACATATATTGGTGGTCATCGAGTAATCATGAACCGATTGAAATGTATGTTCTCTGACTCCCATTTTCATTGTTGATTCAAGTACTGACATGATAAGTGTTCATAGTGTACTTCTCAAAAGGTAACGCTGGACGATGAAGCAGAGTTCGACGGGTCTAATAAATCACGCTTATCTTAGTTCTGCTTGTCACTTGAGGTTGTTTTCAATTGTCCACGCCTTCAGTTGAAGCAGAGCCCTGTTGGGAGTAATCAATATAATTGAGTCCGAGTCAAAAGAAGATCAATACATTATTGAATCGAGCTATCTGTATGGCATAATTTATTAGTTGCTAGACAGGGTGTTGACATGAACCCACCGAGGCACAACCCGAAAGAGCTGAGTCTGGTCAACCTGAATGTGATGTCTGAGATCAGTCCTCACAAGTCAAGCTCCACGGCCAATACATGCCACATTCTTTGACCCTGTCAATCAAAGGTAGCGGTTACTTCCGTTCGGTCATCAACCATCAGGGTGAGTGAGAGTTTGAAAATAGGGTCTGTTACCTTGCAAATGCCGTCCCCATAATCCACTGGAGAGTGATGTTTAATAGAAAATTAAGGCGGTGTCTATAAAAAGGAGAGCTAACCGCCACTCTTTGCGTTTCATAGTTTCAGATTCACCAATAAACCAGTTATTTCACAACTTCATCATGACAATTCAGACCGGATCACTCCATACCGTTCGCAACCGCCAGTTAACACCAAGGCGAGATTACTTATGTTTCAGTGGTGTATTCAAGGGAGAATTGGGTGTGAGTTTATCTGATTCGTTACATTGCTGACCGTTTAAACTGACTTGAGCAGCCTTTTTTGCGAGCCCGGCCCAACCAAGGGCCTCTAGAGATGATGAAAAGTTCGGTGTACACGTCGGGAAAATGGAAAACTGGCCCAGGCCAAACTACTATCAATGTTACATGTGCATATCACGAAGACTTTGCCCTGTCCGTTGGCGGTCCACAACGGTACAACGGCAAAATCACAAAAATGGATGATGATTCTGTCTTGAGTTTCCAATTATCAGATGGCGAGACCATTGAAAATGTGGGACAGGAGAGGGGCCGGACTCAGGGCGTCACCATCGATGGGGTGGGATCAATTGTCGAATCATGGACAAAAGAGGTTGAGCAAGGAGCAAACAGTAAAACATCCTTTGTGGTTGTTGAGCATGATGTCAATGTAAGTCTGCCGTGACCCTTTGCTTTTCGTCTGCTGACAAAATTTGCAGAACAATACTGTTGATGTGATCACAGTAACGTACGTCTTTTCGGAAAATTCGGTAATAATGCCGCCGCGGGTCAAATTCAATGTTGGAGACAAAATTTTGATAGTAGGCCAACTGGAGTCGACTGGTGATGGGTCGGACGGGTTGATAATTGAGGTGAGCTGTTTATTAATTGCTTGTGGGAGCACCGACTTATTCTATGGTGTGCTCAGGCCTCACAGGGAATACAGTTCAACCGTTGTGAATGACACGTCTCGATTCCAGTTCGATTGGTGACAACCAGACCAGGCTTTATATTGATTGATCAAACCGAACCAGATCAAATTGATTGGTTGTAACTAGATCAGACCTGTGTCACACCTGAGCATTGTTAGATGAAGCAAGTTTTCCTTATGTCTTGGCTGGACGGTTGTTCATACTGATCACCTTGTACATGCAGTCTAAAGTAGTCCAATACCCCTTTACTGCGCCCTGGCAATGCAGTCCTAACATGATTGCCGTTGAACATTTGACAAGAGTGTGACTAGAGGTCCGTGTTGAATGAGAGATGAGGCCAGCAAAGGACTGAGTTCGAGAAAATCTCATACTGCAGTGGGATTGGGGTGTGGGTGGATACATAAATAGATGATCAGCAATCAATGACCCTTCATGGTTCCAGTGATATCTTCAGTAATCTTCCCTAGACATTCTGGTCTCAACACCGCAAGATTTCACCTCCCATTTACACTTGGCTGGCCAAGACATAACTTCAACGTTTTCCTATTCTATTTCGAGTCTATATTTACCTAATTAATTGATCAGCTTTACTTTCAACTCCCCAACAGCATTCCACCTCTCTTAAATATCATGCTAGATATCAAAGCATTAGCGGTCCCAACTGCAGCAGACAACACGGAACAGAAAATTCTGGGTGCGTTTATTTGGAAGATTCCACACAGGCTAGGCGCTTGCACAATTGAGTGCCGTTCGTGTGGCGCATTGCATTGGATGGAAGAGTCAGCCATCGTGGACCGGAAACTCCTCAACATCAGTTTCTCCAGTTGTTGTCAAAAGGATAAAGTAACACTGCCTGTTGTGGATGATAGTTACCCCGGATATCCTCTCTCGCTGCAGTCTCTCTTCATGGGCGAAACGGAAGGTGAGCTGCCTTTGCTCATCTCTTGTCGAGTCAAGCTGTGTATAACACTAACTGAATTTCCATTTAGAGTCCAAAAACTTCTTAGATCTAATTAGAATGTATAACAATTCAATCAGCTTCACTTTGCTGGGTGCAAAGGTTGATTCCACCGTTCAAGGCCAAAAAGGAATCTACGTTTTCAGAATCAACGGCGGCCTTACACACCGGATTTCCAGTATTGAGCCAGTCGAGGGCAGCGAGCCAGCATACGCACAAATCTTTGTGGTGGGCGAAGGGGGGACCGAAGAAGCAGAGTTGCGGATGAATAAGGCTCAAGGCAAAGGTGGGGCTAGAGGAAGAGGGAGTAGGCTCTGCGTGAAGAATATCAAAAAACTGGTTGATTTTCTGGACAGTTACAATCCTTATGCGGTGCTGTACAGGTGTGCACAAGAGGTCCTTCAGCAAACGAACGCCAAAACGTTAGCTCTTCAGGGGGTTCAACACCCAAGTGGAGATCCCAAACGGTACAATCAGCCTTCCGTTGACGAGATTGCAGTGGTAATTCACGGTGACGGCGATACAATAGGGGAACGACAGATTGTCCTTCACCGGAACGATGGGCTACTCGACATCATTTCGGACGTCCATTCATCTTACTTCCCATTAAGATATCCATTGTTCTTTCCTTATGGCTCTCAGCAATGGGACAACCTGTATCAAGCGTGGACTGGACGTGGTGAGTAATATGATCTCCAACCTTTGCATAATAATAATATACTAACTCCTTGTTGTCAGTTAATGGCAGAAAGGTTGGCTCTTTGGAATGGTTTGCATTCCTCTTGTTCGAGCGCAAAGAAGACTTCTCCCCAATTCTAGCCGGGAGGTCACTGTTCCAAGAATTCTTGGTGGACATGTACGTTGTCGTTGAAAGATCCCGCCTCCGATTTATCACTTTCAACCAAGGAAAATTGAAGGCAGCCCAATATGACAAGTTGATATCGTTGATCGATGGAGTTGCGCCCAGTTGTGGAAGGCGAATTATCCTACCATCGTCATTCATTGGGAGCCCCCGGTACATGCGCCAACTATATCAGGATTCAATGGCTATTTGTCGGAAATACGGCCCGCCTTCGCTTTTCATAACAATGACAGCAAATCCGCGGTGGAAAGAGATTCAGGACCAGCTGAAGCCAGGCCAGAAAGCTTATGATAATCCAACAGTTGTCGCTCGAGTTTTCCACCTTAAGTCAAGGGAGCTGCTGCATCAACTTGTAAAGCTTAACCGTCTCGGGAAGGTTGTCGCTTATGTTTTGACAATTGAGTTCCAGAAAAGGGGTCTTCCTCACATTCACCTGATGTTGACACTGGACGAGAAGGACAGGCCCATTACTCCAGAGAAAATCGACTTGTTGGTCAACGCCGAAATCCCGAATAAAGACGATGAGCCTAAACTCCACTCATTAATCTCAGATTTCATGCTCCATGGGCCTTGCAATGGAAGAGCTTGCTGGACAGAGAAAGGCTGTCGCCTTGGCTTTCCGAAACCACTCACACCAAGGACAGTCACAGTGGACGGCACATACCCTATCTACAGACAAAGGGAAAATGGACCTACCATTCAAAAATTCACCACACAGTTCGATAATGGTTCTGTGGTTCCATTCAACAAATACCTCTCACTGATGTTCGAATGCCACATAAACGTCGAAGTGCCGGTCAGCTCATCAGCAATCAAGTACCTCTACAAGTATATAACTAAAGGACACGATCGGTCTTACCTCAAGATTCAGGAGGAAGATGAAACGAAAGCTTTTGTTGATGCCCGGTATATTTCTCCCCCAGAAGGTGAGTTTTCATTGCAGTATTCAGTTAGACTTTTACTGACATTGGTTGTTAATATTTGAAGCTGCTTGGCGTCTGTTGAAATTTTCACTCTCTGAACGATATCCAGCCGTAACGAGGTTAGCACTTCATGAAGATAATGAACAACTTGTTTACTTCGACAGTGAGGAATCGGCTGTTGGTCAAATCAAGTCAGGAAGTGCAGAGAACACCATGTTGACAGAATTTTTCCGCTTGAATGCGGAGAATGGACGGGGCGCAGATAACCAAAGTGCTCGGACCTTATTTTACGAGGACATTCCGGCTTACTTTTCGTGGAGCAGAAGTGAAAAGAAATGGAAGCCACGGAAGACTAAATCTGAAGCCGTGGGTCGCATCTACGGAATCTCATATCTGGCGGGCGAAAAATTTTATATGCGAACGCTGCTCCTTCACCGGAAGAATATCGTCTCTCATGAAGATCTCAAAACAGTAGGAAATCGTATTGCAGGTTCGTATCAAGAAGCATGCAACTGGCTAGGACTGCTGGTGGACGATACGTTGTACCATGCGACTTTAAATGAAGCAAGTTTTGTGCGCTCGGGTTTCCAATTAAGTCAACTATTTGCTATGATATGCGTTCATACCCCTCCGTCCGCTCCAATGCAACTCTTTGAAGACCATTATGAAAATATGACCGACGACATCGTAAGGGTTGATATGAAATTTCGGGATAGCGAGACTCTAACACTGGATGAAAGGCGTCTACTGGGTCTTGCAAGAATTGATTCAATGTTACATGAGTTGGGTAGCAATCTTCAAAGATGTGGTCTCGTCACTTCAGCGGAGGAATCATCATTCTTGATGAATATTCATGGAAATGAACCAATCATCGAATCGATTGAGCTCATCAGGGATCGGTTAGTTGCCAACCTGTCAAGATTTAATGAAGATCAGCTATACATCTATACACAAGTCAAACGGTGCCTACTGGCGAGAAAGGGCCAACTCTTCTACATTGACGGTCCTGGGGGTACAGGAAAAACGTATCTTCTGAGCTCAATTATTGACCTAGCTGACTCTAACGCTATAACTTGGACAGTAGTGGCCTCCTCGGGAGTGGCGGCACTTCTCTTGAAGGGCGCTGCCGTTTGGAGGGAAGGTCGTAATTTTTGCGGGGGACTTCAGACAAATTCTCCCGGTGGTTAAATTTGGAGAATTCCCATTATCCTGTGACTCAACGCTCAAGTCATCTTTCATCTGGAAACAGATTGTACAACTAAAATTGAGGCACAACATGCAACTTTACACGCAAGCAACAGGAAAAGAAGCGAAGCGAAACCGGGCTTTTGCCAGAGCATTACTCGGAATCGGGGAGGGAAGAACCAACACTCAGGAGAATGATGTGATCAAGCCAAAACATCTTCACATAATGAGCTTTTCTACTCCCCAGGAAAGCCGTAAAGCACTAATAAATTTCGTCTACGAACACCTCGCAACCTATGCAGGTCGACCACCATCCGAAAATGCGGATTACCTGCAAGACCGGTGCATTTTGGCACCTCTAATCAAGGATGTAGCGATCTTGAATGATGAAATAACTGCAATTTTGCCGGGTATAGGTTTCATGTCAAAGTCGATTGATATTCCGGACCCTGAAGGATGGAACAGTCTACCAGAAGAATGCTTAAATACACTATCACCACCTGGCCTACCAGAGCATCGAATTCTACTGAAAGTTGGCATGCCTATTGTAATCATTAGAAATCTTTATATCGCAAGAGGAGTGTGTAATGGATCGAGGATGATTGTCAAGGAGGTTGGGGAAGGATTCATCTTGGGTGAGTTGATGTCAGGTCCGTGCAAGGGCGAGGAGATACTAATTCCGAAAATAAAGCTACAGAATAAGAGCAAGTCTGCAGATGGATACAGTTTTTTCCGGTACCAATTTCCAGTCCGTCCAGCTTACGCGATGTCGATCAACAAGTCTCAAGGTCAAACATTGGCGTGTGTTGGAGTACTTTTGGAGACTGATTGCTTTGCCCAAGGTCAACTTTATGTCGCCCTTTCAAGAGTATCAAATGTAAGCAACCTCTTGGTAGCAAAACCTGATGTCAGGGTAGGTGTTTTAAATGTTGTACAGAAGTCCATATTCCTTTTGTAATACTCCACGGTTTTGATATATTAACAATCACTTGTAACGGGTGACTTTTCTGTAAAAATTATTTCCTCATGAGCGTGTGATTTTAAAGTGGTGCTGGAAGTGTAGCCACCAACCAAATTGTGGGTGTTGGTGGAATACATATAAGCGGAGGGCTGCTTGTAACTTGGAGGGCCTTGCGGGAGGGGGAGAGGGTTATGAGGGATTGGGTTTGTTCGAAAGAGTGCAGCGGCGAAGCCGCCCTGGCCTCTAGTTTTTCCAAAATTTTCATTTATAATCATTCTTCTAATATGCCAATCTTCCTTTTTCTCAGCACTCCCACTCCCCCAAAATGAATATCAAAGCTTTTGAAAAAAATCAATTTTATTTCTTATGTTTCACAAATTTTGAAACTTTATTTTTTGCTTTTATTGTTTCATATTCATTTTTTGGGACCTATTATGCACCACCTGACCAAGTCTCATGATTTCAAATTTTTGGTTTGGAGCTCTGGAATCCAAAATAAGCAGCCACTTTTCACTGTCTATGCACTGTACCTGCGGGTGTGGAGGATTTTTTGCAGGCAAAATTTCTGCATGACTTATTAGATATATGATTGATATTCACTTGATATATGAGTAAGAGTAACATAGAAATAAAGAAATAAAGACAAAAAAAACTATTCTATCACTAATTTGCACTTTATCTTCTCTCTGATCTATTGTCTCAAAGGCCGGAGGGTTCCCTCTGGCCTCAACAGGCCCATGTAGGACACCAAATGGTGTCCTACATGGGTTCCTAACACCTTTGTGCAGCCCAACACACCCAAAAAAGGGAGGGTTGGACCGCCAATGAAAATTTCAATTCTCATGGGAAGCATTCCCAGGGTGGGTGTAAGGCGGGTACCTGCCTTTTTTCCCAAAAGTCAACACCCGCACCCAAACCTGCACCTGTTTGCGGGCACCCACTTTGGAAAACAGGTACCAACACCGCAAACGCTGCACTGTCCAAAGCGGCAAGCGTAGTGAAAGCGCAGTGGATTTTTTCTTGCTCTGCTGAGCTTTTTGTAGCGGGGTTGCCGCTGCACTTTTTGCTAGTTGTTCTTAGTGAAAATTTCAATGAATTTCAGCGCACTGTTTACAGCGGCCAGTAGCAATGTTTTGCTTTGCTCAGCGCTGAATTAGCGGAACGATCACTGAAAAAGCAATGCTTACTTTGCTGAATAGCGGTGAGGGGGATTTTTATTCAAGGTCATTTCATGTATATCGGACATGACTTGTATATATAAAAAGGATGTGAATAGAACTATTGGAATGGGAGGAGTGCTGAAGTAGTGGAACGATCACTGAAAAAGCAATGCTTACTTTGCTGAATAGCAGTGAGGGGGATTCTTATTTGAGGTCGTCTCATGTATATAGGACATGACTTGTACTAAAAAGGATGTGAATAGAACTATTGGAATGGGATTGATATCAAACAGATCCAGCTAATTGATGGGTGGAATAGTGTCAACCATTCTGGCCCAGAAAAGCGCAGCCATCCCCTGTGTTCCCCGCTATTCTCAGCAAATAGCGGAAAAAACCGCTATACCGCTTCCGCTGCGCTGTTCTGTAGCAAAAGCAAAAAAAACCCGCTCCGCTACAAAAAGTTCATAATGTGTGTAGCGGCTGGTTTGCTGCACTTGCGCTGAAAGTGGCAATTAAGAGCTGCTGCTTTCACTTTTTGACACCAAGAAAAGCGGGGTGCCGCTGTGCTGCACTATTTTTCCGCTTTTTGCAGCACAGCGCAGCGGTTGCAGTGTTGCAGGTACCTGCAAATGGGTACCGGGTACCTGCTGACATCTCTAAGGTGAGTACAAGGGCCTGTACCACAGCCCCAATCTCAGGTTGGAAATTGACTCTGCCAGAAATGGTGCACCATGCACAACCAATTTCTCACATTACAGAAGCCAGATTTTCAGCGCCAACCCCAAAACAAATTTTGGTTGGTGAACAATAAAAAGAAAAATTGACTGGGGTGCTATGGTACAGGCCCTGAATAGACTAGATGAATTTGATCAAAAAGTGGTTGAGTCAATGTGAATATTCAATATAAAAGTTAATCAAAATATAGATTAGAAAAAAAGAAGAGGACACTCTAAGAGACAAGAGTTGAAGATAGGATACTAATACCTAGTTTTCAATGACTACATTAGTGTGTTCAAACTAAAAAAATAGGCTAAAATCTAGTCTAATCTAAGTTGATTGAATTAGATAAAATTACTTGAGATGCTACATTAATTTATAACACTGCTGGAACTAACTGCTCAGATTGGCAGGTCCAACAAGTCCTCAGACTTCCCTGTCCAAGAAGTCATTGGACAAGGCTGTCTGACCAGATTTTGAACAGGCTTCTCTGAGAAGTCAACAGGTGGTCAATCATCTGCTAGGGCGGACAGGTCTGACTTCTTATTGGCCAACCATGTCCAAGAACTGCTTGGAAAGGCCAGTCAGAGGATGTCAGCCTCTGTGCTACTAACCTCAGTGGGTTGTGCTCTGATTGTTAAAAAGAAGAGTAATGAAGAAGATTTATTCTTGGTAAAAATCCCTCAACCTGTAAAAGAAAACAGGGAGGAGTCAGTGAGGAATGGTTCTTCTACTGCTGACTCATCCAATTATTAAATTGGGCATCCAGATCAATCCTGTTACGTGGATTAATAGGTTTCCAAGGTGAGGACTTCTTCTACTTGCTTGGGATTAAGTCTTTTAACAAAAATCCAGATTAATAAGTGTGTAAGCACTTAAGAACCAGAATTTTTTTACCAGGAGGATAATGCTTTATTCAATAGAGATAAGTAGAAATGCCTTGAATCTGAGCAACGCTGCCACAGATACAATACACTGTGTGTATCATGGAGAATTCTGCAAAGCTGCATGGCCAAAAACCAAATTTGTTGAATCTCCTTGCAAATAAATGCAGATTGGTCAGATAGTTTTTTTTTATTGGGGCTCAGATACATAGTGATACATGGCAGATACGGGCAGATACCGTATCTGTGGCAGCGTTGATCTGAGCAAAGTAAATCTATTTAGGTCTAAGGTAGCTGGATTGTAATGTTATTGGTGGGTTGAATCACTAATAATCACAGTACAAGTTTTGGTTTGATGCTACTAGAATTTCCTGGGGGGAAAAGGTAGGAATCAGGGCTCCTTAAATATTCTACAGAGGGCTCAGGGCAGGAGGAGAGGCCCTCAGGGCACTATGGAGCTTCTTAGCAGCTCTAAGGTTTTGTGTAAACATGGGAACTGTAGCTGTGCAGTGATATGCATTGATGGAAGGTCCTAGGACATGATATCATACATGCATAATTGAATTTATGGCCCATTTCTCACGTAATTGAAAGAGCCGCAGTTACTGTGCAGGGGCTGTGCAATTGTATGGTTAGTTGCATATGTGTAAATCTGCTTATGCAAGCTTGTGATCATGGGAAATGCATGTACTTCATGCATAATTCATTCTTGCATATTGAATTTGGGCTCCTTTCCCGTGTGGGCCACTTTGAACTATGCAAGCTTTGAATTAGAGCACAAAAGGGTCCTGATGACGCCTTCCAAGAGGTTTATCATGCAATCTGATTCCCTGATGATGTGATCAAGTATGGGTAAGCTTCAGGTAAGTTTACGTAGCTTATTCCTCATCCATTTCATGCTTCTACTAGCTGTTTCTTATACATATGTAATTAGTTTATGGATTATAAAATATGTACATAATGTATAAGAATAAATATTATTTTAATACCTTATTCTAATGATATTTCTTTGAAATCCTAGTGATATTATATGTACAATACTCAAGGGGATTTCACAGTGAATTATTGAATTATTAAATATAAATTAGAAATTAAGATTTAATGTAAATACATATTTATTTATGTATTATTTTAACAAAAAGTTATAATGTTTACTTTAGAGATGTCAGCAGGTACCCAGTACCCATTTGCAGGTACCTGTTTTCCAAAGCAGGTACCCGGAAACAGGTACCGGTTGCGGGTGCGGGTGTCAACATTTGCAGTAAAAACAGGTGCGGGTGTCAACATTTGCAGTAAAAAAAGGAAGGTACCCGGGTACCCGCCTTACACCTGCCCTGTGAATGCTTCCCCTGAAGGATTTAATTTATCATTGGTGGTCCAACACTCCCTTTTTTGGGTGTGTTGGGCTGCACAAAGGTTTCAGCAACCCATGTAGGACACCAGCTGGTGTCTTACATGTGCTGCTGAACTAATCTGGCTGCTTTGTTGAGGCCGGAGGGTTCCCTCCGGCCTTTGAGATGGTGTACAGTCTTGATGACTGGAGGAATTCCTCCAGTCATAAAGACAATGTAGAGTCTTCATCAATGGACATTGAATAAGTCAAATGAGGCCAAGCAAAAGGGTAAAGCTAAAGATAGATCAGAGAGAAGATAAAATTCAAATTGGTGATAGAATAATTTGACTTTCTTTATTTCTTTATTTTTATTTTATTCTCACTCATATATCTAGTGAATATCAATCTTATATTTACCAAGTCATGCAGAAATTCAAGGGTGAGATTTCTGGGTATATTTGCCTGCAAAAATGTGCCAGGTACCCGCAGGTACCCGGCGCAGGTACCCGGGTACCCGCCCTGGCGGCCCTAGCAGGTGCGGGTGCGGGTGTGGGTGTCAAAAATATTGGATTTTTGAGGCAGGTACCCGCACCTGCTACAGGTACCCGGGTATTGAGCGACATCTCTAGTTTACTTGCATTCATTTAATTATTATCTTGCAGCTACTAGGTACATTTCATGTACTGTGAAAGGTGCTCTGTGGCTGACAGAGGACTTGTTGGGCCTGCCAGTCTGAGCAGTTAGTTCTGGAAGTGTAAGATTTAAAGTTGTTAAGAAAGTTAGTAATGAGTAGGAAATTAACAAAATTCCAACAATCATTAGCCGAAAACATTTTTAATCATGCTTTAGGAAGGCTAGACTAAGGATTCCAGTCCAATAGGGGGGTCTAGTGCATTATTATTTTTTATCAGATCAATCAAATAAATTGGAAAACACAATATAATCAAAGGAATACCTGTCTCAATTATTCAGCCATTAATCCACCTTACTCCTCACTGAAAGGAAAAAAGATTTATTGGGAAAACAAAGCCTTACTAGAATCCAAAAGTTTTCAAATAATCCCACATTACACATCTTCCAGTTGAACATCCCATACAACATATCTTTGGATTCATCTGAGGCTTCTTTGATGACAAAAGGGAGATTAAATCAAACATTGCCATTCAAGAATTTGTTTTGTCTTTTGGATAGCTGAGCCTGAAGGGGGGAGGGGGTGATGATGATATCAGAAGTGCTACAAACCCCCAATTT